GGCGTGGGGCTGTTAGTGTTGCTTGTGCAGAGCTGGAAAGAAACCTGAGCCCACAGGATGGGAGGCCGTTCCTGTTCATGCTGGAAGGGGAGCCTGCGGAGACCCGAGCCCCACGTGTGTGTGCTGACACCTAGACGTCCGGGTCCCAGTCAGACCCACACCAGCCACGCGAGGTGACTCTCCCGTGTTCCCGCCGGGTATTCGTACACCGAGCTCTGACTCTGAGACTCTGTCCGTGGAGCAAGCGAAGCAGAAACACACGTATTCATCACTTCCCACCCGGGGACGTGAGACGACGACCGAGTAAAGCACAATCCCACCCGGAAGGAAAGGAGTTTGGAACTGAAGTTTGGTGACACTGATTTTTCCCTGAAAGAACTGAGTGCTGAAAAGATAAAATAGGTAGCTGCCCAAAGTCCTTTAAAAGGGCCAGTGATCGGCTAAGTGTAGAAGCTTCAAGAACACGTCAAACCTTTTAACATCATTTGCTTTGTTCCTGATGTCAAGAAAATAAGGAATATAAACAGCTTTATGTTTAAAAACAAATCCCCCAAACAAAGTGTCTTTGTGAACCATACATTCAAATGAATTTCTGAGATCACCTGTGGCTAACGGGTCTCCGTAAACCCAAGCCCTCAACACGCAGCTTCCCATAGAACAGCAAGGGGCGGCACAACAGTCATTGCTAAGTCCCGTGTCCTGCTGGCAGTCAGCAGCGTTTATTGAACAGGGGACGTCACATGTCCCACACCCTTGCTCACGAAGGAAGGTCCCGTGTCTCGGGCTGCCCCGTATGTACAGAATGTACAGCAGTGAGGGGCGTCTCTACTTGACAGGGTCTCCGTGCACTCTGAACCGATAGAGACATGTGTACTCAGGGTGGCCCCAGTTAGAAAAAATCCGAAGTTCCACTATTTGGAAAGCTCTTTCAGGTCTTTTCTGAAATCGAAGGGGAGAAAAGAAAACACTTATTTCATATTAACACTCCCGAGCCCAAGCACGTGCCCCCAAGGCTCCTGAGAGAGAGGAGCCAGGCTGGGAACAGGCCCTGTGCCATCTCACAGGCACAGCTCAGGTGGGGCTGAGAAGCCACCGTGAGCACAGACTTGGCTTCTGTGCAGGACACATTGACGGGAGCAAAGCATGCACTGCAGAGGCTCATTCAGGGAGAGGGGAGCCCTGCTCCCTTCCCGAGGCTGAGCCACGCACTCTGGCAGCTTGCTCACGGCAGCAGGGCCTGGGGACTCGGGCCCGGGGCTGGGCCCAGTGTGTGTGGCAGGTGCTCACCGGGACGGGGAAGGTCTGGAGCGACTCCCCCTCTTGGTCGAACATGAACTGTCCCAGCAGCTGCCCTTCCTCTTGATACTCATTTTCTAGTCCCTGAAAGCAAAACCAGATGGTCACCGGATGGTGGAAATGACACCGGCGGACAGCATCTCTCCAGCAGGAGTGGGGGAACCCGTCTCCATCACTGCGGAGGCTGCCACCCGGGCCTTTCGTTCAGGGCTTTCGCAACTCCTCGCCGGTGAGGGAGGTGTTCCTCCACCACTGAGACCTGTCTGTCTCCCCGCTGGGCCCACGCTGCCTGCAACGCTCCAGAGGAAAGCGGGCAGGGAGGAGGGCACACTCACGTAGACGGAGAAGTCCTTGGGGGCGCTGGTGATGTTGCCCGTGGGCGACAGCGTCTTTGGTATGTGCTCCAGGGTGAAGCTGGTCGGGTGGATCTCCATCGACAGCCGCACCACCAGGTACCCCTGTGAGCCTTTGAATGCCCAGCAGTTCCCTGGGTAGATGTCCGGCTGGGGAGGCAAAACACTAACACTTAATAGCTGGGCAAGCGCTTAACCGCTCATAAAGCAGAAGCAGGAAGAGGAAAGACTGATACCATTGAAATAAAAAAAGCATTTTTCATGGTAAAAAAATTACCATCAGCAAAATCAAAAGACAACCTGGGGAAGAGTGACTGCCTCCCTCAGGTGAGTGCGTTCTACGGAGCTCACATGGCCAGAACCAAAGGGAAAATGGGCGAGACGCACCACACAGGCCGCACGGCGTGTCAATGTCCCCAACCACAAGGAGGCCCAGCCCACACAGGACTGGAAACCAAGTCTATGTGGCAGGTGTCCGGTGGCTCACCTAGCAGACCACCATCACCCCAAGGTGGGCGCTGTGCTGACGCCGTGGGACGCGCACGCTCACACACTGTGCACACCGGCCAAGCTCCGGAAGCCCAGCCGGCAGGCACATCGGTCTCTGATCCACATGCCCACTTCCATCCGGGGACACTGCCAGGGTACAAAACGATGCCCACAGGACATAGGCGGCAAGAGTACTTTCCACGGCAGAGGAGGGCCCTGCCCTGGTGCCGGCTGCTCTGTGGTGCGGCCCAGACCAGGAGGGAGGGAGGGGCAGGATGGTACGACACGAGGAAAAGATACCCATTCTCGGTTCTTTGTGCCCTCTCTGCTCGCCCTGTGAGAAGGGGCCTGGGCCCTGAATACTCGTTGCCGTCCGAAGGAGCGGCCACCCCAAGGCCACACTCTGACTCCCGGCAGCCCTCGGGGCGCATGCCCGTGGGTTTCTGCAGGTGCCTGGTGTGCAGCCCTCAGTGAGCTGTGGCTCCGCTCCTAGGAGGTGTGGGCTGAGCCCGGGGCGGCCCTGCCCCTCGGAGGGAGCTCACCCTCCCCAGCTGTCCTGGCGACGGCCCACATTCCTCCCTGCGAGCAGCCGCCACTGCTGCTGCCCCAGCACAGCCGGCACCTTCCCTCCTTCTCGGTCAGGCACGGCTCGCTCTTGCCCCACACGTCCATCATGCAGAGGACAGCTGCCTCCTGACCACCAGGGCTCATGCTGAGACCCAGGCCAGCACGACGGCACAGGGCAGACCGTGCCTGAGGCCGCGCAGAGCTGAGGTACGCGGTGAGGGGCCCTGTGGACCAGGGCCTGGCGCGTGCTGGGGACCGAGGAGCAGCATTACGCAGGTCAGGCACCAGCGGCACCGTGGACAGGGCCAGCACTGCCCGTGAACGGCACTCCCTCGCCGCCCAGCTCCTTCCTGAGCTCTTTCAGGCTGAGGGTGTGGTTTCTAAGTGAAAGGCCGCTATCATGTGAATGTTTCATGTTAAAAAATAATTTAAATTTTCTTCCAAAAACATTATAATGTAAGGCAGCAGTTTAGTCCTGAGGCCAAACGAACGTATCTGATGCTTTACACTCTTCATCATGAGCCTTGAAATCTGAGACCCGTGCGGGAGGGAGGCCCAGGAAGGCAGCACACGCCCAGAACTGTAGGGCCTGTGTGTGCGAGCCGCCTGCGGGGGCTCACCCCGCTCTCAGGCATGAGCAGGCACAGCTGACTCGCACACTGGGCCCTGCAGCTCACACCTCAGACAAGATGGGCGGAGTTACAAGCCAACCTTGGGGCGAGGGGACAAGAGGGGCTGGGGGTGCTGGCCCGCATGTGTCCGCTGTGTGAAAACTCACTGACTGAAGACAGATGAGGGCACACACTCCTGCACGTACCCTACACCTTCACAAAAAGCTAAACATACATCGCAGAGTTGGTCACAACGGGCCCCCCGATGACGCCAGCCGCCAAACACACGGGTCCTCACCTGGATCACGACGCGGGGCGACTGGGAGAAGTACCACAGCGGGATGCCGAACAGGCTGATGAGCGCCGTCTTGGTCTCATGCGTCTCCGAGCAGCGAGTGCTCAGGATGCTGCCCCCTGGAAGCAGGGCCTGTGTCAGGAAGAGCCGGCCAGCCCCGCGGGAGGAGCTGGCCTTGGCACTCTGGGTCAGCCCCCACCTCAGCCCCACTTGGGCCAAGTCCAGCGCCAGGAGGTGCCTGCTTTCAGCTGTGCTGTGTGCACCTGCCAACATGGGAGGCCCTTAAACATGGCTGCTCCCCGCCCGCCCGCACCTCTTGGGACAGCAACTCTGAATAAACTTTTGTTCATGGTTTTTTAAAATCCTCACACAAGGATATGTTTCTATTGACTTTAGAGAGAGGAAGGGGAAGGAGAGAAACATCAATGTGAGAAACATGGGTTGTGCCTCCTGTACCCACCCTGACCCCAATCAGGGATCGAACCCACAACCTAGGCATGGGCTCTGACTGGGAATCGAACCCACAACCTTCCAGTGCGCAGGACGACACTCCAACCAACGGAGCCACACCAGCCAGGCTGCTCATGGTTTTAAAAGAACAATAAGGAACCCAATCAGGCCCCGCTGCTACCTGGCCCGTGAGGGTTAGAGGGTTAACTTAAAAGGCCCACGGCCAGCTGCTGGGGGGCCGGGGAGACAGGCCCCCCTCCTTCCTACGCTGCCGGGACGAGGCAAACTAAACAGGCGGCCAGGGTGTAAGATCACCACCACCCCTGCAGACTCCAACCCTTCCACACACAACAGCGTGTTAAGAGCCTCCTCTTCTCCAGGAAAATCTGTAATTCCTAAATGTTACACATCCAGAAACCCGCGATCCCCTGTAAAACGCAGGGTGGCAAAACCTCCCCACTGACCGGACGTGAAGTCATTCAGTCTTTCTCTCTCGTGTCCTACGAGCATCCACGATTTCTTCACAGAAACGTTCCCGTGTTTGATCCAATGTCACGGAGATCAGGTGACAGAAGGCAGGTATGTGGACCCAGCCCTTCCCCGAGCCACAGTCTGATTTCTCAACTCCATCGGCCTGAGATCTCGGTCCAGAGCCTGCAGGCAGGCGGCACGCTGCCCTGACAGACCACACTCGCCTCATTCCTTGAGGAACCCCGCCCTCTCTCCGCTGGTTTGCTGCATTTCTACGCCTGAGGACCTGTCCCTGGGGACTGTGGTCCCGGCAGGAGGCAGGCGCTGGAGGGAGTCTCGCCAAGTTCCGGAAGGAACCCGCATCCACACAGCGAGCACAGCCTCCTGGGAGACATGGGAAGAAACTGCCTGCCGCCCATGACCTCCTGCAGGTCACCTCGGCGACCACCACAGAGACGGGGTCACAACACAGTGAGTGTCTTTCTTCTGGTGCTGCCTTCAATTCGTAAAGACGCGCCCTGGCCATTGCGAGTTCCATCCGGTTGGGGTGCGTGCGGGAGGCAACCAACCGATGTTTCTCTCATTTGGATGTTCTCTCTCCCCCCTTCCCTCTCTCAAAAAACAATAAAAACATATCAAGCGAGGATACACAACAAGCATGTACCACCTGCGACGTTTACACACACACACTGCACGACACTCAAGACCACAGCAACCAACCACCCACAGTGGGGGGACCCTGAGAGCTGGAAGAGCCCTGGAGCCGTGGAAAGGCCCCCCAACTGAGATTTAGCCGACGGCCTCACCACAGCGCTGGGCGTGGGGAGAGCCAGGCCGTCTGGAGCGCGAGCAACTGGCAAGGAGGAGCCCCGAAAGCCCGAGTGAGTCCTGGTGCTGGACGGGGAGTGGCAGCCCCTACGGCTGCACCTGCCAGCAGGTGGCCTCTGGCAGTCACCAGAGGGGCTCACTCACCGCCAGACTCCAGGGCGAAGTCCACCATGCCGGTCTTGTCCTGGGAATACAGCTTGAGCGCGTTGTTCACGATGACGCGAGCTTGCTGGGCGGAGGCAGCGCAGGAGGGGACCCGACGGGGGCGGGGAGACAAGGCTACGTGTTAGCGGCAGGCGCGGAGCCTGCGTTTCAGGGAGAGCACTGTCAGGAGCTATGTTGCGGATGAAGGCATGGGGATGTTTGGGAAATCCAAACTGCAGTCTGCATCCGGCGGGGCCACGCGAAGGGCATGGGAGGGCGCCCACCCTGCCCACAGGGCTCCCACCGCCCCAGCCCCTGGCACACAGAGTGTGGCCACGCGGGTTCAGAGCAGGCACTGCGGCCTGGTTCTGTGACGAACTGCGCCGACAGCTTCTGCAGCAGCCAGTCCAGGGAGCCGTCCTGCTGGTCGCTGGAAAGCAGGAGCCTGACGGTCTCTCGGACTTGGGCATCGACCTAATAAAACCACGAGGACACAGACGAGAAATCACGCGGCTCTGTATGCCCCTCCCCTTAGACACGATGGCAGTGTCCCCCAGCTCTTCACGTCCATCATGGAAATGCTGCACGACCCCCAAGCCCCTTTAAAATGTTTTCATTGACTTCAGAGAGGAAGGGAGAGAGAGATAGAAACATCAATGATGAGCAAGAATCATTGATCGGCTGTCTCCTGCACGCCCCCAACCCTGAGCGGAAATCAAACCCTGAACTCCTGGTTCATAGGCTGCGCCGAACCACTGAGCCACGCCGGCCGGGTGATTCCCCCCTCAGTTAAATGTAAGAACCCCTCCAGACACGCTGGAGTAGATCAGAGAACAGGCGTGGGAGCGGACGCGGCATAAGCGGGGCCTGTGCCTCGGGCCGAGGAGGAGGCGCCGTCCAGCCTCGCCCACCCAGCACTGAGGCCCCCGGGTGAGGGGCACAGAGCACTTTAAATGTAACTGTTTCCAGAAACGCCCACAGGCATGACTGCTCCCCACACTTCTGTACCGAACGGCGCCTGGGCAGCAGCGGGAGCAGGTGCTCTACGCTCTACGATCCGGTAGAGAGGTAGGGTCAGAGGAGGCTTACCTTCCCGAGGACCGTGTGGGCCTCCTCACAGCTGCTCCTCAGCGGCCGCCATGCCGCCACGTCTGACCTCAGGAGCTCCAGCTCGCGCTCCAGCTGCGCCACCATGGACAGCAGGTGTTGCTCCTGCCCAGGCGCGCTGGCGGTTGGGGTGGGGGGAGAACAGGCTCGGTGAACTCGGGAGAAGCGCGGCCCCAGACACAGTGGGTGACGGCAGCCTGCGTCTCATGCACAGGAGCTCCACACACTCAGCCTGGGTCCCTGAGGGTCCCCCTCGCCCAAGGGTGCACCTGCCCCACGTGTGCTGATGGGGGCGACCGCCAGACACAGACACACAGCACACGGGTCCAGTGCAACTGCCAGCTAGACAAAGACACAGACACACAGACACACAGCACACACACACACACACACACACACACACACACACACACACAGCACACCGGGTCCAGCCCGGCCGCCAGCCAGATACAGACACACAGACACACTGGGTCCAGCTGGACTGCCGGGCGGGCACACACACAGACACACCACAGACACAGACAGACAGCACACGTGTCCAGCCCGACCACAGGCCAGACACAGCAGCCAGAGGGGACAGGGTCCCCAGTTGAGCCTCAGGAATCACTGAGCAACGAAGGGTGAAGTATTGTATTTAGACAACCTAGAGGGCGGGGGAGGGGCTTGTGTGATGAAACTAAGGAGTGAAGAGTGAGAAGGGGAGTCCAGTGTCCGAGGGCTCGGGGGAGGGCTGGCTGTAGAGGGATGCACGGGGCACAGTGAGGAGCCCAGGACCTGCCGAGGCAGCAGGCTGTTTGGACAGCAGAGGGACGGCTAGAAGGGCTGGAGCCCTGCTCCGAGGGGCCAGCTGCAGTGTGGTGCAAAGGCCGTTTCACACGCAGGCCCTGCCCAGAGGACAAGGGCCGAGCTTCGATGCCCACGTGCCAGAGATCTCCAGGCACCGAGCCCCCCACTGTGACACGAGCCTGGGTTTATCTGTGCCCCGAGGGTGGCCCTCCAAGCACTCCAGGTCAAAGGGGTGCCCTGCCCTTGGGGTGCTGCGAGGAGAGCAGCAGACCCGACAGGCCCTTCCCAGGAAGACACACAGCTCTGTGTTCCTCCGGAGCTGGTCACCCCAGGTGGCAGCCCCACGACACGACGGACCTGGCGCATCTGAGCCTCCTACCTCTCTGTCCTCAGCTTGGTCTGCTCCAGTTCCCTCTGGATGGCCTAGAAGGTACGAGAAACCATCTGTTTTCACGATGCCATGCTGGCTCTTCATGAAGCCACCCGTGTGGTTGACTACACACACCTACGTAGTGTAAAGCCACAGGTCTGCCTGGGTCCCTCCCCTACAGCCCCAGCCCGGCTGCCGGCTGGAGGGGAGGGTTTGCTTTCCAGACACTGAGAGAGGAGCAGTCACACAGGAGCAGCTGGTGCATGTCCCACATCCGCGGCTCCGGACCAGCCCAGGGCCCTGGCGGTCACCTCCATGGCAGCACAGGACAGGAACACACGCCCACACAAAGGGGGGTGGCAGGTCCGCTCAAAGCGCAGGCGCGGGTTCTGTGCCAGGCGGACAGGCCTTCTCGCAGCCTCGGGCCTCACCGCTCTGACTCGGTCGTGGCTGTGCCCTGCCTCCCCCTGGGTCAGCTGACAGCCTCCTGTTATGCCCTGCTCTGTGCCAGCCCAGCGCCTGGCCTCCGTCCTCTGTCTCCATCAGCATCTGAGACACAGACTTTCCCTCCAGAAACTGACTTCTCGTCTGCACACAAGGTGCCTCTGGAGGTGGCTGTGACAAACAGGAGGCACAGACTCAGCCGGCCCCTGGCGTCCGCAGCCCTGCCCTGTGGCCTGGCCGATCCCTGGGTGCAGGCCTCCCCTCGAAAGACACCTCGGACCATGAGCTGGACATGCTCATGAAGCATCACAGCCACACACGGAACCTCCCAGGGAAACCCTGCGGCCGGAGAGGCCTCCTTCACATCCATGAGGGACGGCAGCAGATGCCCCGAAAGGGCACTTCCAAGGCCGGGGCGTGCGAACACCGACCCCCGTGGGCTCTCACGTAGGAGAGCACGTTGCCGAGGCCACACGACGAGAAGGAATACCTCCAACTTTCCCGCCAGCTTCCCCAGAAGGTCCTCCAGGTCTGAGATGCGCGATAACTGCTCGTGGTGGGAGGTCACCGCGTCGGCCTTGGAGAGAAATGAGAACAAATGGTGGAGAAAGGTAAGCGACAAACCAACAAAACCCTGGCACGTTATTTCCACACAAAATGCCCGAGTATGGAGAGTGTCTGGTCACCACGTGGCAGAGCACCGGGAAGGCCCACCACCACCAACCAGGCTCTCGTCTCCACCGCCGTCGGAGACCCGAGACCGTGCCGGCAGCTCAGGAGAAAAGACACCCACGTGGCTCCCCCGACAAGCTGGGGTTCCCTCTGGGGTCACCGTGACCAGTGCTCAAACCTCGGAGGTGGCCAAGAACAGAGGGCCAAGCATACTGAGCCAACCAGACTTAGATCTCAACTCCAGAGAAACGGATCCTGCCTTTTCTACATGTCATTTTCTTCTTTAAAGAGAACGCAAATGAGCCGTATGCACGAGGGGCGGCTGCTGGCCACCCTCTTGTGTGGGAGCTCCCTGTCACGAGCGTCCCTGCTGGGAGCACTCGGGCCTCAGCTAGATGCTCGGGGGACCCAGGCTCCGGCCGGGTGGGACTCTGAGCTCGCCCGGCGGCACAGCCACGCAGAGCTGTGACCAGTGCTGCCCCCCCCCCCCCTTGGAGCCACGCCCGCTGCGCGCATGTCTAATGACTTGGTGTTCTCAGGAAAGAACGCCAGCCCGCCCTCCGCACACTGATGCCGACGCCCTAAGGTCCAACAGGAAGAGCAAGGCCAGGCCCACGCTGTGTCCTCCTGACCATAGCCCCAGAGGGAAATGCCTCACCTGGGAGCCCAGCAGCCCACTGGCTCCAAGGTCCTTCAAGTGCTGCCCCACCACGCTTGTCACCAGGGACGACACCCCGGCACCCCCGTCGTCCATCTGGTCCACCCGCACTTGCAGCTTTTGGAGCGAAGCTGTCAGTTCTCGAAGCTTCTCGTCGCGGCTCTGACACTGTCCGGACAGAGAGGTCACCTGCCTCTCCACCTCACTCATCCAACGCCAGGGAGACGCCTCCGCAGCACCCTAAAGCAGGAAGGGGACGTTCCCCCCAGCAACGAGTGAGACATCCAAATCGGGCATCAGGTAACCTCGCTACCGGGCAGGCCAAAGCTAAAGGCAGAGCCCTGGCCGGAGTGGCCGGGGCTGGGTCATCCTGTGCACCATGGTGTCGCCACTTCATTCACGGCCGAGGCACGTGCCAGGTTTGGGGCTCCATCCAGGAGGGGGTGTGTGGGAGGCAGCCCATCGATGTGTCACTCTTTCTCTCTCTCTCTCCCTCTCCCTTCCTCTCTCTCTAAAAATCAATAAAAAATCTTTAACAAACCCCCCAAAAAACTCCAAGACAGAATATGACAGCAAAATGTCAACTATAACGCACACAGATACATGAAAGGAAAATATGCAAACATGCCCATCAGTGGAGTCCCTACATGGCAAGCTAGTGGTGGTGTTCATTTCCTCTCTGTGCTTTCTATATTTCCCTAGCAATGAGCACTCTATTTTTCAAGTTAGATTAACTGGATTAGGAGGTGACTTTACCGATGCATTATCTGTACTATTTCAGAGCATTTAAGGAGCTTGATATTTAAAAGTATTTCCTAAAACAGGGCCCCCCTGCACCTGCAAGGCCAGGTGAGGGCTTTGAACTGGTTACCTCTGGAGGCTGGCTCAGGTGAGAAGTCTCAGGTGTGAACATGTCTTTGGGGTCATCCACCCTCTGTGTTCTGAGGGTGTGTGTCCAGTTGAACACAGGCAGGAGGGAGAGGAAGCCGTCCTGGCCTCGTAAGGAAAGGCTGGCACCTTGAAGGAGAGAAAACCCGGCGGTCGGCCCAGGCACACCCGCCTCCCACAAAGGAGGCCCCTCCCAGGGAGCGCAGTCACACCTACTCACCGAGTAGGAGAAGCAGTGGAATGAGCAAGATGAGAAACTTGCAAATATCCCGAAGGCACCTAGGAACCAGGAAAACATTTGCCATGAGGAAGCACAAGGCAGGGTTCCCCGTTCACTTGCCCTCTCCAGGTGACACCTCCCCGCCTGCCCCCGAGTCCTGAGAGGAGCCCACAGAGATGCAGTTACAGTTTCCCCACCAGGTGTGTCTCCACTACAGGAGCCCGGCCTCTAAGTGGTGGCTTGGCCCACGTCAACAATCACACACAGGCCACGCTGGGAGCACGGCGGGGGGGGGGGCTGGCGGGTGCCTCGCTCATGGGCCCCAAGGTAACCTGGGCCGTGGGAGCTGCCCCAGCACTGACAGGGCCTCCTCCCTCAGTGACCCTCCCGTAAGAACATGAGAGCATTTCTTAAAACATAAAATGACGTGGGAATGCAGGGCTTTAACATACCATACTACAAGACTATAAGTATAAACTAAGTCATTATAAAACAATAAATCAAATAATGTCCCACAATTAGCACAAAATCAGTTTGTTTGTTTTTTGTTAATCCTCACCCAAGGATATTTTTCCATTGATCTTTTAGAGCAGCGGTTCTCAACCTGTGGGTCGCGACCCCTTTGGCGGTCGAACGACCCTCTCACAGGGGTCGCCTAAGACCATCCTGCACATCAGATATTTACATGACGATTCATAACAGTAGCAACATTACAGTTATGAAGTAGCAACGAAAATAATTTTATGGTTGGGTCACCACATGAGGAACCGTATTTAAAGGGCCAGAAGGTTGAGAACCACTGTTTTAGAGAGAATAGAAGAGAGAGGGGAAGACAGAGGGAAACATCCATGTGAAAGAAACACATTGATGGGTTGCCTCCTGCAGGCACCCTGACCAGGGCCCAGGCCGGGGAGGAGCCTGCAAGCAAGGTACAGGCCCTTGACCGGAATCGAACCTGGGACCCTTCAGCCCATAGGCTGAAGCTCCATCCACTGAGCCAAAATGGCTAGGGCACAAAGTCAGTTCTTTAAAACACAAAGCGGATGTGATGTCAGGTTCCTTACCTTGTAAGAAGAAACACGTTCAGCCAAGAAATCAAAGTCACAAACTGGTACCATCCGCTCCCCAGCCACCAGAACACTGCAGAGGCTGCCGTCCCTGAAAGAGGACACACGGACCGTCGCGGGGAGTGCTCTCAGGAAAGCCAGGCTCCTAAGCGAACCGTGTTAGGGACGGCCAAGCTGGGAGCACCGGGAAACTGACGGACAGACGTTTGGGAAGCTGAGGGGCTGCAGTTCAGGAGCAGGTATGTTAAGGGGTGCTGGTCAGCACAGCAGGAATCCACACGCTCCAACATGGACAGCAGAGGCTGCAGCCGCACAGAGTGCTCATCAGCACACCAGACACGACTGGGAGGGGACACAGAGCATGCATCTAGTTACGGCCAAACAGGCGGCCAGACGCTCACAGCACCAAGCCCAGAAGGAAGCTCGCCACAGGGGGAGCAGGCACGGGCCAGGCGGGGATGTCCGCGGGTTAGGGGAGTCGTTCCCTGCAGTGTTAGCTGCCCAGCCCGGGAGAGTGAGCACAGAGCCAGCATAACCACCTGGAGCCGCCGCGGCCAACCAGAGGGCCGACCACACGGCCTGCGACACAGACCGCCCTGCAGCTCCGATCCTCCGCAGCGCCCGCTCCGCGACGTGACCTGTGGCAGACAGACGCGTGCGGGGGGCACACTCACACACAAGACCCAGAGCACCAGCTCTCCACAGCGACCACACGGCAGAAAACACCTGCTAGTCTGATTTTACCCCAATTCTCCTCTGAGGAACTCGACTCCCTTCTCAAGAAAAACAAAAACAAAGCATCTAAGCAAGACACTGACATGAACTCTGAAGAGGCTGCTGTGTGAACGCCTCCCTCCCTCCTGCCCGGGGATGCAGACGGGACGCCCGGGAGGCCATGGCGGGGCAGCTGCCCACAGACTGGCGGCGGTGTCTGTAGGATTCACACGGAGAGAGGAACGTAAAACCCCGCAGACACCAGTTCACACGCTCAGCCGAGACAGGACCCCTCAGGACCAGATGGAAACCATGGGCCAACGCTTCCCAGTGGGAGGGCTCTGGAGCACAGCGGCACGGGGTGCGAGCAGCACACACAGCGCCCGGTCACAGTGCACGTCACGCACGACACAGCTCCAAGCCGTCCTGCTTCGTCTTTAAGAGGGATTGTTGAGCTATCCACTCCTATTAGCACGTGTGTGCCGACTCCTGAAACTATGACGTAATTCCAACATGGCCGATATGCAAAGAAATATGGTTTAAGAGAGTTTTAAAAGTCGACTGTTTTATGTTTATTAATTAACAGTTGACAACTATTTTTGAAGCTCAGCTTAAAAAAAAAAAAAAAAGGCTGCCCTAAAAAGGTGCCCCTTTACCAAGAAACTTACAGCTACAAACCGGAGACACCGAACTCCACGGACATCTCCCCGCTGCCCGGGGAGGGGCAGACGGCCGTCGCTGAGCAGGATGCGTTCTCACACCAGCCTCTGCTAACCCTTTCATTAAACCTCAAGTAAGTTCTTTTTTCATTCATTTAATTCACACTAAATACGCTTTCAAGAGAGAGAGCCTCCACACTTTAAACCAAAGTCAGCTTGAATCCTGTCCTTTTCTAATGGGCATCTGGATCCCAATGCGGACAAGGACCACAGGCATTTGTGGAGAACACGACAAGAATGGAGCAGAGTGAGAGACAACCTGCACGAGACAGGGTGGGCCGCGTGGTCCCTGCTGCCCTCTCTGTCCTGGGGGACCACAGGGAGGTGGCTGTGTGGGTTTCGAGGTGCTCCGTGCCCGTCCCCCGAAAATCATCGCCTGCGGGTGGTGGTGACAAGCAGTTAATAGGCAAACCCTGTCCATTCGAAAACTGTGCACAACAGTGGCAGTTTGAAAAAATTAGGAAACTCGATTATGAAAAAGAGAAAAGACAAAGCAAATGAACCTGGTGGCATGAGCTTCTATTGCTAAGGATTAAGCAGCAGCTCTGGCCGCCCCACCCACCCAGGGAGGCGCGAGTTCACGGAGTGATGCCCCGTGTCAGGGGCCTGCGTGTGACCTGGGGATCAGCCGAGAGCAGGTGCGGGACGGGCCATACTTACACGACTCCCCATTCACACTGAGGCCTCCGTCCGCTCTGAGAAACTCTGTTCCTGTCCTCCTCCCACAGGGATCGGAACGAGCTGCAACACACGCAGAAGAGGCTTAGAGAGCTCCGCGTTCCAGCGCCTCCTCGGCCCAGGAGCCGGGCAGGCAGAGCACACGTGCGCCACCGGCTCAGCACAGCTGGGGGCTCGCTCAGGCAGGAGCACAGGAGACAGGAAGAGAGTTTCAGGCCCCCCTAGCTAAACAGTACGCCCACCAACACAATGCACAGGGGCTGCTTGAATGCGTCCAAACATCGTTCTAAATGCCATTCAAATAAATTGTTTTTGCTTTAAAAGAGAATCAGAAACTGAGCATATTAAATTTTTATTTAAAAGGTGGCTTAAAGCCCTGGCCGTGTGGCTGAGGTGTTCGGAGCGTCCTCCTGTACACCCAAAGGGTGGGGGTTCGATTCCAAGTCAGGGCACATGCCGGAGGCAACCGATGGATGTCTCCCCCTCTCTCTCTCCTCCCCACTACCCCTCTCTCTAAAAACGAAAATAAATCCATAAGCATATCCTCGCATGAGGATTTTTAAAAAGTGACTTAAGCCCTAGCCAGCTTGGCTCAGTGGATAGAGCATTAACCTGCGGACTGAAGGGTCCCAGGTTCGATTCCGGCCAAAGGCATATGCCTGGGTTGCAGGAGGCGTGCAGGAGGGGGCGTGCAGGAGGCAGCCAATCAATGATCCTCTCTCATCATTGATGTTTCTCTCTCTCTTTCTCCCTTCCTCTCTGAAATCAATAAAGAAATATATATTTTTTAAAGTGACTTAAAAATGTTTAAACACTGGTCAACTGTCAGAAAACGGAGCCACACACAAAAGACAGGAAGCCCTCCGCCAGCTCCCAGAGGAAAGCCTGAGCCAGGAGAGTCGTGCCGAGACCGTGCGAGCAGAAGCGTGAGCGCCACGCTGGGAAAAGGAGTGCTTTCTCCACCTTGAAAGCATTATTTGGTGGAAAAAAGAGAAAAAATGTATTGAAGTACCTTGTGAGTCATGGCTTTCTGACTTAAAGCTTTCTGATTCACGATCTTTTGATTCATAGCTTTTCAATTTGGAATTTTCTGATTCATAATTGAGCTTCATTAAAACCACTTGAAAAAGTTGCACTAAGAATGATGAAAAGGATGACGAAGCGTACGTGGCCAGCCACAGAATCCTATCCACGTAGAGAGACGCACCGCCTATCAAAAAACCGTGGACACAGTTAATTGCCTCCCACAAAGCCAGCATTTCCTCCCCGACCAATCAGAGCCAAACCATTCGTGTCAAGCAAACCAGAATCGCTTTGTAAATGGACACCAGACAACAACTGGGGAAGGGGACGACAAGGGCGCTGCCGGGAGTGGCACGCCACCCTGACGAGGCGGAGCTGCCGCCACGAGTCTCTCTGGCCATCTTCACACGAGACCCCGTCTGAGCTCACCTCACCCAATGCTGCTCACACACATGCTCCTCCTGCACTGCTGCCTGGAGGACGGATGCCAGGGGAGGCCAGCGCACCTCCCAGGTCCTTGCCACAGCACTCGAGGGGACCAGAGACAGAGGCGTGGCCTCTGGAGGCAGCTGTGCACTCACGGAGCCGCTGCACCAGGCCTTGTCGCACAGCGCGCCTCGATCAGCGCCCTAGCTCCAGGACACACGATGGGACCCTGACACGTTCCCTCTGTGACCCTAACATGCGTGGGGGGATACGCTACAAGGTTCAGTTGCTAGAAACCTTTATTCCTGGAAAAGCTTCTTCACGTCACTGAGGGCCCCACCGGGCAAGCGCACCGCCCACTGGAGACCACCCGGTCTGCGAGGAGGCGCGCTGAACCTCGGCTCACACTGCCCTGTGCAGAAGCCTCAGCGACTCAGACGACGGGCAGGAGGCAGCGGGCTGGGGGGGACGGGGTTGGGGTCATTTTAAAGAAGTAAAAGTAGAGCTTTTTTGCAAACGGCTTCGTGAAGCAGTCGAGCCCGGGGGCTGGCATTTCTATAAGAGCCTTGTTCTGCTGCCTGCACTCTGAACAGAGGCTGGAAAGCAGAGCCATTTATTAAGAGGTAACGCAGGGTCAGTCCCCTGATAAAAAACACCAAAGTCCCAATTTTCACCCATCAGACTGAAAAATGTTTAAAGTATGAAAATATGAAGAACTGGCAAGTCTCTGGGCTGAGACCCTCCTAGAGCCGCAGTGGGACAGTGACCGGGTCAGTGGGATCCCAGGATGACACCTGCAGGCAAGATGCCCGAGGCCAGCCCCAAGCTCCATCACCCAGCAGGTTGCAGATGTGGGAAGCCGCCCATTGTCTTCACTCTCAGAGAATGTAAACAAGGAGCCGGAACGCTGGTGAACCTTGAGCCCTGGCAAGGGCCAGAGCTACGCACCGATTGTTTAGTCCAGATAATGGGGGCTCAAGCTAGGTCCTGACCAAAGAGTCTCAGAGTAAATCCTTCTAATATTTACTGACCTTTAAGATAGTCTGTCTGTTACTGCAATTACCGGCGTAAGGGCTAGATGTGTATTCAAAATTGAATAAAAGGTTGGCAAGGCTTGGGCACAAGGGGAAGTCCTTTCCCTTGCATTGGGCTTTCCGCCTGGCCCCCAATATTTCCAAATTATTATTTCTTGTCTTGTCTGTCATTTACGCGCGGCCCTTCTCCAGATCCTGAACCCTGAACCATGCAGGACGTGGACACACTGCACAGCTGAGCCTCAGTGTGGCAGCCTGCAGGGTGGGGACAGGCAGTGCTGCCGGGAGGGCCGGGACCCTGGGGCAGAGCCCGCAGCAGAGGGCGTGCTTGGCGATGCGGGCTCCACAAGGCCTACCCAGGTTGGATGCGTCGCCATGTTAGAAAGGAAGTCCTCCTGTTCATCTACCCTCGCCCTCCCCTTTCTGCTTTCCTATTGTGTCCCTCACGCCACAGCAGACAGAACCACAAGCATCAGCAGCTGTGACAAGACCTCTGTGTCCTGGTACCATTGTCCATTATGTCCACAGTCACCTGAGAAATGTTAACTGAGCACACTCACGCTCAGACACAGCCCTACTCTCCTGGCACCTTCTGTCCCCACCTGGTCACCTGCCGGGTGTGGCCTCCAGCCCTGCAGGCTGACCAACACTCAGACTGAGCACACAGGAGCAAGGACTCGGAAGCGAGGTGATGCAGTTTCGGCCCAGGGCTCCCTAGCCTCCCACGAGCATGGGAGCAGGGACCACAGGCAGGAAGTTGGGGGGCGTGGAGGACCGGAGCCAGCAGGGGCATCTCAGCCACACGACAGAACCTGGAGGGAGGCCTGCAGCTCAGGGGCAGGAGGCAGCCCTGCAGCCCGGCCTGCGGAGGCCATGGCAGTTCCAACAGTCGCATAGCTCCAGAGCCCCTCCCAGGGCCTCCATGCTCCAGCACCTGCTGCCAGTGCCGTGCCTGCCCGCGGGGCCAGGAAATGAAGCTGCCACCCCAACAGGCCAGGGCTGAGCTGTCCCCGAAATGAAGCTCCCTCGATCATGAATCTGGAGACTAGGGACTGCGTCCTCACTCCTGCCGGCATGAGCCCCTCTGGCAGGAGGCAAAGCACCCTGTGGAGCTGCTCCGTGGGTGCACGTGTGTCTGAAAGTGACCGCACAGTCCCAGCAGCTTCATCTAAGTGCAACTTTACAGACTTTCAGACACTCCCAGGACAGAAACACGAACCACATGAAATGTAAGCTGATGGCCTGACTGGCGTGGCTCAATGGTTGAGCGTCAGCCCATGAACCAGGAGGTCTTGGGTTTGATTCCTGGTCAGGGCACATGCCCGGGTTGCGGGCTCCATCCCCAGTGTGGGGTGTGCAGGAGGCAGCTGGACCAATGACTCTCTCTATCTCTTTCCTCCTCTCCCTTCCTCTCTGAAATCAATCAAAATATATTTTTAAATAAATGTAACTTGAAAGAGGATAAGAAGGAGCACAGCTACTTTTTGGTGCATTTCTTAAACTTTTATAGGATAATTTTGAGTTCAAGTCTACGACAGAAAAAGTGCAGATGCTGAGGCCTGTGACACCAGGTTTGTAAGAGGGGACGTGGAATCTTTTCCTACCTCTTAAACAAGCGAGCGGGACTTACGTTTCTGACTCCTGTCCCTCGAGTAGACCCTGGAGGAGGCGCCGTGCGCGGGGAGCGTGTCCTGGCGCTCGGACAGCAGGGTGCAGGCCCTGCAGGTGTAGCCGTTGCTCCAGGCTGCGTCTGCGGCCACCTTGCCATTTCCCTGAACGACAGCTTTATTTCCACCTGAAGGTTTCAAAAAGCAGAGGGGGCCTGCTGCTCACAACCTGTGGACCCTCACTCACACTCTATCTTAAAATGGAGGGCAGAAAAAGGACTGAGTCATTACCTTTAAGATCTCCATCATCATCAAGACCTAAAACACACATATTTTTGCAATTGAGCTCAAATGATCAGAACAGAGCAAAACCCACTCAAAAAAGTAAAGGTTACAATGGTTAATGACTCAGCGTTATGGCGCTGGTCAAGATTTACTTCCTAAAACTCCTAACATCAATGGCAATTTCTCCAATACATACACACCGTCTTTTGACGGAGGTGGAAGGACATCGACAAAAATGCATGCATGCACCCACATGCGCACACTGCCCGTGCTAAGGACGCAGCATGCAGGCAGGATTTGCGGGACCAGCCGTTTCTCAGACACGGCAAACCCCTCCCCACCCCCCCTGCTCGCTGCCTCGCTCCCTAGAGCAGCACATAACCCCAGGAACAAGCCCAGGGCTTCTGTCCCTGAGGCCGGCCAGGGCACGGAGGGGACACAGCACGGGTCTGCGCCATCAGAGCTGCCGCCCGAAGCTGCCATTCCTGGCAGGAGTGGCGTCGCCCTATGGCTGCCTCAGTCAAGTCAGCTCAGTCACTATGTCTACTCTGGGTGCTGTCCAATGGCTCACAAACACGGCCTGCCCGCTGCCGAGGCCGAGGGAGCCTGAGCTCACTGCTCACGGACGGCCAGTGCCCACAAGCGGCGCGCTTGACCAGCGGCTCTCCGCCTGCTGCCTGACCAGTGGACGGTGACGCAGCCTATGCCGCTGCCCGTGTGGGCTTTGTGAGCCTGAGGAACACCCTGACCTATGGGGCTCCACTGGCCATGACCTCCCTCCTTCCCGAACAATCTGAGCGATAATCACACCGCAGACAACTCACCCCAGAAGTGGTCCACTTTGGTCTGTTCTCGGATCAGAGACTCGTCCAGCACGGGCGGCCGTAGACAGGCCGCGCCCTGCAGACCGCTGCTCTGGCCAGCAGCAACCTGCCTCGAGGGGCGGTTTACACTAAAAGCCAGTTTGCTCGCACTTCTGTGCTGCTTTGCTGTTCTAAAAAGAAAGGAATAAGGAATAAGTTCATAGACTTTTTCTTGTAAATACAAAATGATTATATTTTACACACACAAAACCTTTGAGAATAAACATAGCATTTAAAAATTTAAAAAAATATATTTTTATTGATTTTAGAGAGAAAGGGAGAGGAAGAGACAGAAACATCAATGATGAGAGAGAATCACCGATCGGCTGCCTCTTGCATGCCCCACTCTGGGGATCGAGTCTGCAACCCGGCATGTGCTGTGACTGGGAATGGAACCGTGACCTCCTGGTTCATGGGTCCATGTGCAACCACTGAGCCACGCGGCCGGGCTACACAAAGCATTTTTAAGGCAGCATCTTTGTACATCTCTCTGCTGCAATGAAACACCCACTGATCTGGAAAAGGGAGTCCTAAGCTGGGGTCCAAGAGCTCCTTCTAAAACTGTAGTGGTTAAAACTTAAAATAACCTCGTATAAAAACAGCCTAAATATAAAAATAAAAAAGCATATGATTTCTAAGTCTACCCCTCCCTTCCTTTTTAAACCAAGTGCCCACACACTCGCACACCCCATTCCACTCCTCAGTCACCAGGAAAGACATTACGTCCGGCAAGCAAAGGCTGTAATCTAAAATAACCCCCATTCCCAGTGAGCACAAGTGACAAAGATGAAAGCCTTGAACACTAACGCTTTCAGACCCTGTAGATCGCTAAGACCAGGAGCAGAAGCCCCTTGAGGGAGCAATGCTGGGTGGGAGCTGGCAGTAGGCACAGCTGTAACCACCTGCAGCTCGTGGTCTCTTGCTGAGTCTCCAGGGGGAGGGAGGTGCAAACTCCGTCTCTAAACTCCGAGAGGACCCCGACCAGAGCAGGGCTGCAGATGCCATCCAGCCCCGCCGGGCCAGCAGCATCCCTGCTAACAGCACCTTCCCCGCTCCCGACAGCAGAGCCTGCAGGGAAACCTGTCACTCTCACGTGCCCACAGGAGACCTTCAGGTCCACTCTGTCGCGAACGCACACCGAGCTCGCCCACTGTACTCCTCTGGGCACGGGCAGTCTGGTTCTGCACAGGTTTCAGTAACAGACTGGCTGCAATGGCCCCGCCCAGCAGCCTCTGGCGGCCTGTGCCCACGTGAGGGGCACCCACACCCTCCCAGGTCTGTAAGCCCTCAGCACAGCAACGCCAACAGCCCTACTGACAGCACAGCCACGAGACCACTTGTGGGTCTGTGTGCACGCCTGCCCTCAAATCCAAGAGCTGGTCTTCCAGGCCACCAGTGTGTGCGCTGGGCTCTACCTGGTGTGAGCTCGTGTGTGAGCACCAAGGCGGGCTCACCTGGCCGTTCTGTCCTTCAGGGAGGCTGTGCTGCCGAGGCAGGAGTCAGCGTCCCCCGCCTGGCCCCCCTCAGTGCTGCACGCAGTGGTAGCCAGGCGCAAGCTACGCCGGGACATTCTTGGAGAATCAAACACGGGGTCCAATTTGTGCTCAGTCTCGAAATCCAGAGCATCAGAAGAGTAACTGGAACTGGAAGGAGAGAAACGTGTCAGAGGAACATGCTCACAGCACCACTTTACACACACACACACACACACACACACACACACCCCTAACAGAGGAGGGGGACCTGTGGCGCCTTTTTAGAAACACCCATACCACTGTGACTCTTCTACAAGGCAGACAGGCTGCACCGACTGGTGCGGGGGAAACCAGCCCCCGTGCCTGCTGTTTAAGTCAGAGCTGACCTGAGCTCGCTCGCTGCCGCCATGCTGAACCCCACCTGCGGGCCATCGTGTCCCCCACGCCCGGTGACGCAGCAGCGACAGCGACCCTCCCGAGCAGGACTCGCACACAGTCCTGAGTGAGCCGAGGCAGGACAGGAGGGAGCAGGCGCTGGACCATCTGCTCGTTTGCCTCTAACTCACCATCGAGAGGCCACGAGCCAGGGAGCTCACTCAGCCCTCCATGGCGTTAGCGTGAACTGAAAGGTGTGTCCCTCTGTGTTGGTAGCAAGCTTTTCCAAACCAAGAACCAGTCTCTGAGGGCCTGCTCTGTGTCACCTCGGGGTGGGACCGTGCCTCCTGCCCTGCCCAGCGTGCTCAGGGCTCCCGCTCACAGGACACATATTACTGGGCCACCAGCAGGGAGGAGCCACCACCTGGCAGGTAGGAGGAGGTGAGCACAGGTCACTGCGAGGAGGGGAGGGGCAGGACCCGGCTGAGGGTTTCGAGACGCTGAGGGAGACGGACTGCAGACCCAGGGCACCGGCTGGGGGTGGGGGACGGGTGCCTGGGAGTGCCACGTGTTGCAGAGGCTCCCACGGGAGCGGTGGTGTGGGACGCCACTGCCCAAGGCAGCATGGGAAGGACTTGGCAACCGGAGTGAAGTGAATGGGCTTAGGAGCAGTTTTGCATTACATGTGATATTACAGAGTTTCCTCCTAAACTCATTAGGTCTGACACTAGAACATGCAGTCACAACAGTAGCTGGCACCAGGGCTTCACAGCACAGGCATGGGACACGCCACACGCCTTCAGAGCCTGCTCCTGTGGACTCAGGGGCTGGAGTGGGAGCCTGCGGCCGCCACGCTGAGTGTGCAGCAAGGAGGCCAAGGACATCATTTTAGTATAGGCTAAAATCGCCTGTTTTCTTCCCAAAATATTTTTTTTTAAAATATATTTTATTGAACCTTTACAGAGAAGAAGGGAGAGAGATAGAGAGTTAGAAACATCGATGAGAGAGAAACATCGATCAGCTGCCTCCTGCACGCCCCCCAGTAGGGATGTGCCCGCAACCAAGGTACATGCCCCCGACCGGAATCGAACCTGGGACTCTTCAGTCCCCAGGCCGACGCTCTATCCACTGAGCCAAACCGGTTCGGCATCTTCCCAAAATATTTTATACAACTATTAGTGACCCAGTGCACGGATTCGTGCACATTGAAAGGAAATTAATTAGAAGGTGGCCAATGGGGCAGGACTGGGCAAGATGGGCTGGACACGCCCTGGAGCCAACCTCCCGCAGTCCCTCCCCAGCTGGCGCACCTGGGGTGGTGCCATGGCTCGAAGGGCGTCTACGGAGTGAGCGGGGTCCCTCCAGTAGGTGGGGCCCCTCGACCTGGCCTGTGGGGATCGGGCCGAAACTGGCTCTCCAACATCCCCCGAGGGGTCCCGGAGTGCGAGAGGGCACTCTGCAAAGTTGCCTCATACAGGGTGTGGAACGCAAATGCATGTGTGCAGTAAACCAGATTCGGGGCCAATAGTGCCCCAGCAACAACATAACCCACAGCCGAAGGTGGAATCGCGCGGCCCCGCGAGGAATCAATCAGGCTCCCTCCTCTCTGGTTTTGGGGTGCATCACCTGAGAACCACTGCTGCCAAGTCACTGCCGCTTGGCAGCTCCTGCATTGAGCATCTGCCCCCTGGTGGTCAGTGCACATCATAGCAACCGGTCAGACACTTAGCACATTAGCCTTTTATATATATAGACTAGAGGCCCGGTGCACAAAAATTTGTGCACTTGGGGGGGAAGGGGGGAGTCCCTCAGCCCGGCCTGTGCCCTCTCGCAGTCTGGGACCCCTTGGGAGATAATGACTTGCTGGCTTAGGCCTGCTCCCTGGGTGGCAGAGGGCAGGCCCAATCCCTAGGTGCAGCCCCTGGTCGGGCTCAGAGCACGGCCGATTGGGGAGTTGGGGCGCCGCCCCCTGTCATGCACAGAGCAGGGCGGATTGGGAGGTTGCGATGCCACCCTCAGTCATGCTCAGGGTAGGGCCGATTGGGGGGTTGGGGCACTGCCCCCTGTCACACACAGAGCAGGGCGGATCAGGGGGTTGGGGCACTGCCCTCTATCACCCGCAGAGCAGGGCTGATCAGGGGGTTGGGGCACTGCCCTCTATCACCCGCAGAGCAGGGCTGATCAGGGGGTTGGGGCGCTGCCCCCTGTCACACTGAAGGCAGGGTCGATGGGGAGGTTGCGGCGCTGCCCCCTGTCATGCACAGAGCAGGGCCCATCAGGGGGTTGGGGAGCTCCCCCCTGTCATGCACAGAGCAGGGCCCATCAGGGGGTTGGGGAGCTCCCCCCTGTCACACACAGAGCAGGGCAGATCAGGGGGTTGGGGCGCCGCCACCTGTCACACTCAGGCAGGGCCGATGGGGAGGTTATGGCTCTACCCTGTCACACACAGAGCAGGGCCTGTAGTGGGTGGAGGGGTGGGGCACTGCACCCTGTCACACACAGAGTCGCAGGGCGATCAGGGGGGTTGGGCGCTGCCCCCTTTCACGCTGATCCGGTGCCAGGAGGCCTCGAGGCTCCGCTGATCCCGGTGCCGGGAGGCATATTACCCTTTTACTATATAGGATAGAGGCCTGGGGGCCGGCTGGTTTGCCCTGAAGGGTGTCCTGGATCAGGGTGGACTGGGGTGCCTGGCCAGTCTGGGTGAGGGGCTGAGGGCTGCTTTCAGGCTGGCGGTTGTTGACTGAAGCTCCCAACCGCTCCTTTTTTTTCTCTTTTTTTTTATTTTATTCTGGGCCAGATTTAACTCTGGCTCTAGCTCTGAGGCTTCCGCTGGTTTGTTTGCTTCTATAATCGAAACAACGTATAACTCCAGCTCTGAGATCCCGGGGTTTTGTTTAGCTTCTATATTTGTTACAAAGTTTCAAACTGCCAGCTCAGAGGCCGGCAGCGCAGGCGGGGAACGTTGGAGTCCTCCTTTACTGCAGCAAGCAAGCCTCATGTTCACTTCCAGCTGCCTGGCTGCCGGCCGCCATCTTGGCTGACAGTTAATTTGCATATCCTAACTGATTAGCCAATGAAAAGGGTAGCGGTCGTACGCTAATTACCATGTTTCTCTTTTATTAGTGTAGATTATAGATTATATACATAGATGACTTCCGTTTACGGAAATCATGTTCTTTCAAAACAGAGCTCCACCTGCAGCTGTGGACCCTCCACGGGTCACAGAGGCCCTCCATGAACTAACCTCAGGAAGGATAGTGACGGCCAGGTCTGCCCGCCTCTGTCCAAGCCACACCCGTGTGGCGGGCACAGTCAACCGGGCAATCCAGAGGACAGGCAAAGGCAGCAGCTCTCTCCCTGCCCTCCCCAGCCACCCTGAGATCACAGCTGGGCGGGAAGAAGCTTCTGGAAGAATGTTAGAACAGCAGCCTCTGTAGACCGCCTGTGGGGGGTGGGGAGGGAGGAGATAAACATGACACGCCCATGTTTCCTCAGCTGTGAGGCTGTCCGAACCCTTAAAGGTCTATATCTCCTCTCACAGGAAAACACACTCCAGGGTTGTCCTATCTAAACTGAGACAAACTTGAAAACAAACCACACCTTACACATAAAGCACAGAAAGACCTGGAAGGTCTTCTTCAAACTGGTCACAGAGCTAAACCAGGCTGGGTTCACGGCAGGGAGGGCAGGGCAGGGGTCAGCTATCCCCTTGGGCTCAGCCCTCCTTCCACAGGGGCCTGCATCCAGGACAGCAGGGGCTGTGCCTCGGCCTGAGCTGGGCCCCGCCATCCTATCCGTCCTATGAAACAGGCTCCTCCAGGCAGATGCGCCCACAGCCCCAGTGGAAAGACCCAGACGCCTGCGGACAAGAGGAACCAGCACCCACCCAGCAACACCAGAGTCCATGGTGTTCAAGCCCTTCACTGGTTCTCCGTGAAGCTGGGCGAGAGCATTGGTGACATCGCCAGGAGATAGAGAAGGCAGCACAGACGAAGCCCCACAGGGAGCCTCGCTCCACCCTCAAGGGCCAGGTTTCAGTCTGGCTTGCTCCTCAGTTGTGTTGTTATGGACACCTATTGGTCTTTAAAAATCTATCTAAAAAAAAAAAATCTCTCTAGACGCACTTTTAATCCAAAGACTGAAGGAAATCTACTGCAGTTGAAAGTCGGAAACTACTCTGGACCCTGGGTGCGAGGAGCTGTGCAGTGGGCAGTGGGTGCCAGGGACCCACCAAGGCTGGTCTGCGGGCCGAGCAAGTCGTGTGCAGTGACCAGCTGGGGACTCTGACCCCACACTCATGCTCAGCGGTGTGCTTTCTGAGTATCTACCCCTAAGCTGATCCTCCCACCCTGACCCCTCGTTCCGTCTCTCTGGACCTTCACCACAATGTCCTTCAGCCTCAGAGGCCTCCAGTCCCGTGATCAGCAGCTTTGGGCTGTGACACCCGCCCCGTGGGCCACTGTCCCAGGGCCTGGCCATCTCTCCCAGCTCTCTCTGTTCAGTTCTCCACGGCTGCAAGGACCAGAGATCCCTCTGTCCCCTCCCCACAGGTCCTCGCTCCTGCCGGGCAACCTGTGTGGGTCACCTGGTCCCAGGTGCTGACAGCAATGCTAACTCTGTCCCCCTTCCTCACTTTCCAGGTCACCCTCCCCCCGCCTCCCACCTCGACTCTAGTCCCCAAGGCCTGCATCCTTCTCCCGCTCGGAGAGTAGGCAACGTCTCCGACCGCCCATGAAGGATCCGTCACGCGCCATCTGCAGTGCAGGGAACCCCAGGGCCCATCACGCTGCGCCTCCACTTTCTGGGCCTCACTGTCAGGCACCTCTTCTCGCTGCCTTCAGCCTCTCTCTATGGCTCCTCACCATCCACGTCCAGACACCCTCTCCCCTCTCCGGTGGTAAAATAAATAAGTAATCACAGCATGCCCTTCCTTTCCCTTATCAGCCGACTTGTTGACTACCCGCCCCCCCCATGCCCCCCATCATTCTCGGCCTGTTGGTTAAGATCAGGGGTAGAAAACCAACTTCCCCGAGACTGAAAGGCCAGCTCTTCCCAGCCAGGCCTGCACCCAGCAGGGTGCCCACCCCAGGGCAGGAGGCCTGACCAAGCTCCCCAGTGCCGCCACGCCCACCACCGCAGAAGGGATGGGATTTCAGCGAGGGGGCAAGTGGACAACACTGACCAGCTCTCCACCTGAGGGAGAGGCAGGCCCCCGGCAGCCGCTCAGAGTGCAGCAGGAAGCACCACCTGCCGTGCAGTCAGGCCACAAACCACGGAAACCTGGGGCCGACCAAACCTCCCGGCGAACTGCAGCCCCGGAAGCACAGATCCACCCGCAGTCACGGCCCCAGCAGGACAGCGGGCGCGTCCTGTGTCGGTTGACTTTTAGAGACGGCCCGGGACGCTGGAGCACTGACTGGTGTCTGACATGTGGGAGCTGCTGGGAGTGACAATTGGCAGGCTCTGCAGAGCTGTGCTGAGTGTCCGCCCTGCAGAGACCTGCTCCAAAACAACGCACTGGGGCGAGACTGCGACACCAGCAGGGGGCCGGGCTGGGCCGTTTCTCAGCAGGAACACAGGCATGAAATGCAGAGCGGCCTTCCCGCGCTGCACACAGAGCAGTCACCGGAGCTCGGTCACCAGCCCACCAGCCAGGAGAGGGATCAGAGAGTCAGCCACGGGCGGGGGGAGCAGGACGGGGAGGGTCTGGAGGACAAGGCCGAGAGGACAACTTCTGGGAACCCCCTTCTCCACACTGCAGCCTCGTGTCCTTCCCGGCACAGACCTGGGTACACTGCTCCTAGTTAAAACCCTTCCCTGGTCTCCACGGCCCTCGACAAAGACCCAGCACAGCCTGCAGAACCACCCGGCCCGTCCTTCCTCCTCAGGGAAGGCTGCCAGTTCCTGAATTCACCGTGCTGCAGTCCCCACACAGAGACCCAGACACAAGCATCTTTTAAAAACTGTATTTAAAATAGGTTATAAAAGCTAAAAATCAATTAGCAAGAATAATAACTATGCTCCACAATATAGAATAAGGAATAGTTTACTTGAGCTGGCCCACTCAATTTCTTATAAAATACTACAAGACTTTTTTTTAAAAAGATATATTTTTTATTGAATACAGAGAGGAAGGAAGAGTGAGAGAGAGACAGAAACATCAATGATGAGAATCATGGATTGGCTGCCTCCTGCACGCCCCACACTGGGGATCAAGCCCCCAACCCCGGGATGTGCCCTGATCGGAATCAAACCTGGGACCTTTCAGTTCGCTGGCCGACGCTCTATATCAGGGGTCCTCAAACGTTTTAAACAGGGGGCCAGTTCACTGTCCCTCAGACCGTTGGAGGGCCAGACTATAGTTTAAAAAAAAACTATGAACAAATTCCTATGCACACTGCACATATCTTATTTTGAAGTAAAAAAACAAAACGGGAACAAATACAATATTTGTATTTGCATGTGGCCCGCGGGCCGTAGTTTGAGGACCCCTGCTCTATATCCACTGAGCCAAACTGGCTAACGCAATACTACAGGATTTTTAACAAACAAAATAAAGAGTGTGTTACTATGGAAAGTGTGAGTGAAAACACAATCATTATGTGAGATAGTCAAATGTGAGATTTGACTAATGCCCTAAAAAAGTACTGTCCTTAAAATACCCTCCCGTGTCCTTGAAGTTCCCATCACACTTTACCTTAGAAGAGCCATTTCCGTGTGCGCAAACCCTGTCATCCCCTGGGCTGCCCGCCCGCCCCGCCCCGCCCCGCCCCGCCCCGCCCTCTGTGGTGCCTCCTCTCAAAGGCAGTCCTCCCTTTCTCCCGGGAGAGCTGGGATAAGAGACCCAGCCATGCCGAAACTGGTTTGGCTCAGTGGATAGAGCGTCGGCCTGGGGACTCAAGGGTCCCAGGTTCGATTCCGGTCAAGGGCATGTACCTTGGTTGCAGGCACATCCCCAGTGGGAGATGTGCAGGAGGCAGCTGATCGATGTTTCTCTCTCATTGATGTTTCTATCTCTCTCCCTTCCTCTCTGTAAAAAATCAATAAAATATTAAAAAAAAAAAAAAAAAAAGAGACCCAGCCATGGGTACAAGTCACACAGCCCTAACAGAACCACAGAGATTCAGTCCTGGCCAGCCCTCTGGTGGAGTTAAAGCAGCATTTCGTGTGCAATGACTAATCACTGAGTCATCAGCCACGTACCATTTTCAAAACACCCTCACAATGTCCATGTCAGTTCAGTAATTGCATAAAAAATAGTATAACAAAGTTTATAGATATTTTCTCTTTCTAAACATAACATTTTAGCCCCACAGAGGCCCCGTTCATTCAATGGCATTGAGGAGTGACAAGACACACACGCTCACCTGAGTGCATACGTGTAGCCAGTGTTCTCGGGCACACACTGAGGCGGCGTGTATATGTGGAGCCGAGAAAAGTCCATGTCCACAGTCTCAACTCATACTGCAGAAGGTGGAAAAAGCAAGTCAGGTTAGGTGAGAGCACACGCAGAGGCCCTGCCTGCCGACTGCTGCCCGCTAGACAGCCTGCCGCCACCGTCTGCTGATGGAGCAACGCTAGCGAGCAGTTCTGTGTTTCTTATCTTTAAAACAAAGGACAGAAGGTTTTCATAATTACACGTGAGTGCAGGAGCACGGCTGCTATATTCAGTCCCTAAAAGACAGATCCATAAACGCACCCCGGGGAGATACCGGATCGACTGACTTGTAATTATGAAAACTGGGGCACTTTTCAAAGACCAAGGACCCATTTCACAACCTATTTTTAAATTCCCGAAGGAGTCATGTGTTCTCATGCTTCTGAAATAACTTTTCGTTGCTGTTAATTAAAATAGAAAGACTCTACTGCACAGTCAAGAATCACCCTGTGCGTCCCTAGACAGCGAAGTTTCCAGAGTCAGAAACTGCAGGACAACAAAGCAGCTTAAGGCACTGTTTGTACTTTTATTTTCCCCCAGAAGAAAACATTATTTTCAAATTAAAAAGTGTTGAATTGAGCACACTGCTTCTCAGGTTGTCAACTAGATTTCTTTGGAATGATTCAAACTTTCTTCTGTCTAAAAACATTCTTCCTCTCTCTCTTTCTGACATACACACACACATAGTCACTCCAACTTTTTTTTAATGCTCATAGTAATAATGAGAATCACAATCTGTTGCTGAATAATCTAAAGGAAGATAAAAGTAAAAATAAAAACCATCCTGGACAAAAAAATATTTATGTATAAATGACTGATTTCTACAGAAATAGAACAATCCAAAAATTTGTATGAAACCACCAAAAACCCCAAATAGCTAGAGCAGTCTTGAGAAAGAACAAAGCTGGAGGCATTATGCTCCCAGATTTCAAACTATATAAAAAAGCTACAGTAATGAAAACAGTACGGCATCGGCATAAAAACGGACGCATAGAGGAATGGAACAGAGAGCCCAGGAGTAAACCCTCGCACACACGACCGGTTACTGGACGACACAGGAGGGAACGCGCGGTGGGGAAAGAACAGTCTCTCCGTCCACGTGCTGGGAAGACCGGGCAGCCGCGTGCCGACAGTGAGGCTGGGCTGCTGTCTGACACCGAACACACACACCTGGATGTAAGACCTGAAACATGCAAGAAAACCTAGTGGTGGCAATAAGCTGCTTGCACAGGTCTTGGGTATAACTCCAAAAGCAAAAGCAAGCAGGTGGGACCACATCAAACGAAAATGGTTCTATTAGCAAAATGGAAAGGTAACCAACCAAATGGGAGAAGCCATTAACAAGTCATATATCTGATAAGGGGTAGGTATCCAAAATTATATATAAAGAACTCTTACAACTCAGCAGCAAAACAACCAACAGTCCAAAGGAAACACGGGCAGAGGGCCTGAATAGACATTTTCCCAAAGAAGAGGTAGAGGTGGCCGACCGGCACATGAACAGGTGCTCACATCACTGGTCCCCAGGGACGGGGAGACCGGAACTGCAGTGAGACGCCACCTCACACCTGTAGGAAGGCTGTCATCACCGAGCCAAGAGCTCCGTGTTGGCGAGGAGGGAGGAAGGGGAACCCTCGTGCACTGCTCGTGGGGATGTAAATTTGTGCAGCCACTGTGAAAGCAACGTGGAGATTCCTCAAATAATTACAACTAGAGCTGCCACAGGCTCTAGCAATTCTGGTTTTTTATCCAAAGAAAATGAAACCACTAACTCAAAGAGACTATGTCCTCCATGTTCCCTGCAGCAGCATTCACAACAGCCAAGACATGGACACGCCAAGTGTCCGTCAACAAATGAGCGAACGCAGCAGCTGAGGTGCATGCACACAATGGAGTGTTATTCAGCCACAAAAAGAGCGCAATCCCCAGCACGGACGGACTCCTCGGGCCTTCTGCTAAGTGAAGTCAGACAGAGAGAGACACATACCATAGGATCTCTCTTATAGGAAATTAATTTTTTTAATTTTTAAATAAATGAACAAACAAAAATATTAGAGAACAGAATGGTAGTTGCCAGAGATGGGAAGTGGGGAAAATGGGTGAACTGTTTGGAGTTTTTATTAGTTTAAATAAATTGAATTTTTAAAATGAAATTAAATAAAATGACTGATTTGTATAAGCTAAGACAAATGTACTTCACACCACTTTCTGTGAGACAATCTAAATATTCTTTAAAAAATGAAGTCCCCATAGAAATAAAGGCCAGTGTTTATACATAAAAATTTTATTCGCCTATTAATTTCACCAATACTACAAAACTCCTGCATTTTAACCAACATCCCAACATTGCTTGGTTCCTCCCGGGACCCGAAGCACTCTTCCCTGCGTCAGTAACACACCCTTAACCCTCCGACGCCCGTGAGACGTTACTTCAGTTACTTCACCAGGAGCTGCTCGGTACCTGCTCAGCGGCCTCGCCCTGTCACCCGACCCCACCCTTCCGTGTGGCTCAGAACAAGTCCCAGGAGGCTCAGCCACCAGGAGCCAGTGGATGGGCTCCTCCCACTCAGTCAGGACGGAGCCACACCCAGCAGCAGGGCACTGCCGGCTCCGCCGGGAGGATGTGTACTTGTGACTCACTAGGCAACCAGGGCCTGCTGCACGGCACCAGGACTGACGCCCCACTGCTGCTCAGCCTCTGGGGGAGAGCCGCCTCCTTTTATTTCAGTCCCTTTTAGTTCCTCACTCACAAAACCCAAGCTCCCTAACCTCATTGCCAAAGTGATCTTTCACGTAAATATTTAAAAATATTTTTAAAAAAATATATTTTATTGATTTTTTACAGAGAGGAAGGGAGAGGGATAGAGAGCTAGAAACATCGATGAGAGAGAAACATCCCTCCTGCACACCTCCCACTGGGGATGTGCCCGCAACCAAGGTACATGCCCTTGACCGGAATCGAACCTGGGACCCTTCAGTCCGCAGGCCGACGCTCCATCCACTGAGCCAAACCGGTTAGGGCTAAAAATATTTTACAGTCCTGCACTGTGACCATCAGTAACCCAGGGACCTGATCCGCCCGCTCTCTACAGCTGGCAGCGCCAAGGGCTCCGCGGCGGAGAGCTCCTGGGACCGGTTCACAGACCACTGCCGACCAGTGACGGCGCTGAGCTTACAGACCAGGACTGTGATGCGGAGGCACCAGAGCACCGGCTCCGAGGACAGAGCCCTGCCACCGGGCTCACATCCCAGCCCTGGCACAGGCACAGCGGGTCTGGCCGTGGCTCAGTCACTGGGCCTGGTGAGGAGGACACACACAGGAACGTGAACCTACAGCCTTTATTTTAAAAAGTTACATGAACACGTTCTCACATTTTCATCCACCTGAAGAGACAGATTGGGTCACTTCTCATGCGTAACAAACGATGTTTCCAGAAGCTCTCAGAGGTGCGGACATGCTATAGCCACGTTCCAATGAGACGCAGACGGAGCTGGGCCGCACCCCTCCCCAGGCCGCTGTAGGCCTCAGGCCACGGCTTACAGAGAAATGGAGCTCCTTGTCTCTGAAACAAAGTTCTATCAAAGAGCCGAGGGCCACGACTGGCCGTGAGGGGACCGCAGCAGCGAGTGACAGGCTAAAAACCCACAGCTGACAACGGGGCACAGCTGAGTGACAGGCACAGCCGTACATTTTTGGTAAAATAGCTACACGTGTGATAAAATCCCAACGGTGAGCCCGCTGGAGGAACAGCAGCAGAAGCGTGGGGATCCAGGCAGTGGGCTCAGGCCCGGACGGCGGAGAGACCACGGATGCCCATGGCCAGCCTCAGCAGCCACCAGGGCACAGGGTGCTGGTCAGAAGGCCTTGCTTCTCCCTGCTCAGGCCAGTTTGCTCCGTAAGCACATGAGCTGAGCTCCATGTTATGTTCTCAGGGACAAGCACAGCCCAGGACCAAGTGAAAGGCATGGAAGGTGTGCCTGACACAGGGCCCGACACAGGGCTAACGCTCCCTTTGACGCCAGCTTTCACTGTGGGATAAAGTCACAGAGCCTATGCTTTAAATTTTTAAAAAGAAGGTCGTTTTCTTCTGAGTTAGCAATCCCTGAGAGGGAAGTCACTCACCCCTGGCGGAAACAAAAGACCAAGTCTGTCCGCGGGGCCGCAGGCCGGGACGGCTCACTGGAGCCAGCGCCAGCTTCTCCGAAGCCTATCTGAGCTGAAAGCTTATCTACTGAAAACCAAATAGACATACTGAGCATTTCAAAATGCGGCTTCCAGTCCCGTTTACATCACTGCTAATTAAAGCCCACATGTGACCCGAGAGCCTTCCTACTTGTACCCGGGCCGAAGGCGCAGCCTCCACCACCTCAGCCTGAGACTCGAGGGAGGTCTGACTGCCTTAACTTCTGAGGAGTGTTGGGACAGCCAGGGGAAATGGACGGAACATGTGTTTAACGGCATCAGAAAACCCTGTAAAGAATTTGAAGTTAACATTTTGCAAATTGATGTGAAAAGAGGGGCCCTGTCCCGGCTTCACTGTCTTTGTTTTTCCATCCCTTCGGGGCCACTCCCTTTGTTCCCCTAAAGTGTTGTCCCTGGTCGGACCCCGTCCCGGCAGGTCCCAGGGAGTGGCCTGGGCCGCAGGAGGGAGGCTGTGAGCTACCAGATGCCTGCCCCACGGGGAAAGGGGCTGGGCTTGCATCAGGCCTCCCCCAGGCTGCCCAGCCCAGCCGGCCGCAGGCAGGGGACCCAAGAGCCTCTCCTGCCCCCGTACAGAGTACTTCTTAGGGTGGACAGCTTTCGGTTTTGAGCTGCCAGACCTAACAGGATGCTCGCACCCCAGGAAATGTGGGCCAAGAGTGCCACCTGCAAGGGAGCAGGAAGCCCCGTGCTTAGGTGCCCGGGCCTCCTCCACCTGCTCTGCTAGGGAGGACATGCAGGCCAGCAGCTCAGGCCAATGCACATGTCCTGCTTGGGCTGCAAACAGAGCTAAGGTGCTTCTTAAATTACCTGGGGCTCCTCCCTCAGCACCCCCCACCTGCTCCAGCGGCTCTGTGACACTTACACCAGGTGGGAGAGAGGAAACAGCAGCACTGCCGGGCTCTGAAGCTCTGAAGTGAGGTAGCCCCACTCTTTCCCGGGGCGCTCAGTCTGGAGGGAAGGGGTGCGGTGGCAGAGCCCCTCACCACTGCCAGCTCCAGCAACGACTGGTGCATGTGCATGCAGGAAGCAGTCGGGCCTGCTGGGAAGGCACTGTCACGGGGTCTGCGAGCTGGTTGGGTTGTGACGAAGCAGCTGCAGCTACAGGGAGCCCAGCTGAACAGGGTAGCTGACGTGGCAGTCCTCCTCACCCCGTGGAAATGGCACGCCAATGGCACGCCACCCCTGACCCCATCAGAGCTGTGCACCGAGAGCAGCAATCAAGGAGACAGCGACAGCTCCGGATGCGCCATCTGCCTCGGTGCCCTGGGGAGCTGCCCACAGGGCTCCTCCCGCAAAACACTGGCCACAGGGCTCCTCCCGCAAAACACAGGCCCTCGGGGACCCGCTGCTGCTGGGCCGTCCCCTCAGGACCACACACACACACACACACACACACACACACACACACACACTTGCCCCGGCTCCACCCTCACTCTCCTTAATCACCTGCGTTGGTTCCAAAGGGCAGCTGTGCCCATGTAGGCCTTTCATTGTTGTAAAGACTCACCTTTAAAACTAAAATTCCAAGGTGCGTGCCCCTTTAAAAATCAGTACTAAACCTTAACATAATTACTCTGCTCAGGATCTTAATTCTGTAAAACCAAGTAATGTGAAGACTAATAAAAACAACCATTATTTCTGCCTATAGACTTAAAAAATCGCAAACTGGGTCAGACACGATTATTTCCAAGACCATGTTCCAGGTAACGACTTCTACCACATCATAAACAGAAACTGGCATCTCATTCTATTTCCATTTTAAAGAAGCAAAACAATGTTTATTAAAAAACAACTATGATTTATACTGAGTCACCTTAAAAACGAACTGATTGTTTAAAACAGCCAATCAGAAATGAATGCCTCTCCCCTGGAAACATGTGAAAGGGCTTTGCAGGATGCCCTGATGCTATCTGAACACCTGAGTATTTAAACATCCAGAAAAACCCTACACGAAGTTTACTGATAAATGACAGAGAATGGGACTTCTCCTTTTCACTTATCCCTTCTGTACCGTTTGAATTTTTTTAAGAGTTAAGTATTGGTTGTATAAAAAGCAGCTAACCCAATAAACATTACTTTCAAAAAGAAAAAAAATTATCACTCAGTATGAAGCAGAGTGGGGCAGCCAGACTGGCTGGGCGTGGCTCCGCTGTGGCACTAAGAGCGGGAGGGGAGGCACCCGAACCCCACCCAGGGCTGCTCCTGGGAGCACCAATGGTACCTCCCTCACCCTCCTGAGCGGCCGAGGTGCAATCAGTTAATACACCTAACCTGCTGGGCACGGCCCTACATAGGGCGAAATGCTGTTACAAACAACAAGTAGATTTAAAAATAAAGCAATAGAATAAAAATAGAACTCAGCTATTTTCAGCAGCAACTCTGTACTGAAAGGCAGTTTCTCGCCAAGATGTGATGTTTCTTTCCTTTTTTTGGAAATGACGAAACAGCAGGAAGAGGTGGAGGCTCGATACCTTGTTCACATAACAACAGGACTCTGAGTTCCAGGAGCGCGAATGCCTCCCTGGAGACCTCACCCTGCGCCTCCCAGGACGTGCCCAGACCTTCCCCACAAGAGCTCCTCCAACAGCAATGCTCCCCGTGTGCCAGCAAAAGCTCAAAGGCCAAGGGTGTGCTCTGTGCGGGCCTCTCAGCACAGAGCACGGACAAGCCTGCTGCAGCCTCGGGCCCAGCACGCGGGAACCGTCGGACAGCCAGTGCCCTGGCCGGGTTAGGAGGGCTGCCCACCCGGCGATTCCTAACGGTAAGGGCGTGTCCACAGCAAATCCCTCAGCGGCACTGCTGCGCACTGACGCCTGGGGTGACCCACACCCACAGGTTCCTAACGCTGGGAGTGGCAGACTCGGGGGCTCCGGGCCAACAGGTGAGGCGACCAGTGGGAGGTTTGTCTTTTCCTTATGGTCGTACAGGATGCTAACCTACTCCTATCACATAGGCCAGGGACCCCCTGCCCCCACATCTGTTACTGAGCTGGCTGACTCTCATGTCCGGCTTGAAAAGGCCTTCCCTGGCCCAGGAACACACGGGCAGTCGGTCACGGGCTCTTACTCTCACTGATGTGATCTACATTCCCAGCCAAGTGTAACTCACCTACCCCATCTGAGCTCCCTGTGCAGACAGCGAGGCAGGCACCTCCTACCCCCTGGAGAGCATTTCTGCCTGCTTCCTGCCTCGGAATCATCCACCTGTCCAATCACTGGCCTGCCTGCCCCACCCCCTTCAGACCAGCAGCGCCTCCTCCCAGGGCATCACCCTGGGCCTGGGCCCCCCAGGCGACCACCTCTTGCTGGCGCTAGACCCTGAGCTCTCGAGGGCGAGAACTACCCTCTCCTGTAGCACTTAGCAGGCTCCCTGCTCTGCCCTGAAGCTGCAAATACCCTTGAGATCTCCCCACTCTGCTCCTGCCCGACCACACCCGGGAAACCCGCCCCAGTGCAGAAGGCACCAGGAAGAGCAGGACCGGCCTCCTCGGTCCTCCCAGGGCATCCCAAGCACCTCTCTCCTCATCCATCAGAACAGCGGTGTCAGCCCCGCTTCATTCCCAAGTGCAGCTGGGAATGCGAACCAGGAGCAGCAGGCACAGACTGCATGCGTACATCAATGCAGACAGCCATCCACACCGTTTCCCATCGCCCTTGTGATGCCTGTCCTCTAACGCCAAGTAGCAGCTGAAAGCCAGTGCCTTCCAGGACTAAAAAGGCTTGCAGCCTAAGTAGCAAGTGAAGCAATCATTACATTGATCTTTTTCATAGTCTAGATCAGTGATGGCGAACCTTTTGAGCTCGGCGTGTCAGCATTTTGAAAAACCCTAACTTAACTCTGGTGCCGTGTCACATATAGAAGTTTTTTGATATTTGCAACCATAGTAAAACAAAGACTTATATTTTTGATATTTATTTTATATATTTAAATGCCATTTAACAAAGAAAAATCAACCAAAAAAATGAGTTCGCGTGTCACCTCTGACACACGTGTCATAGGTTCGCCATCACTGGTCTAGATAAAGCTGACATCTCCCAATAATGTTAATTAAGATGCAACCAAGCAAATGGAATGACTAAGACCAAAGCAAGCAGCCAAGCACAGCGCTGTTTTCAGGCCCGACCCCACTGCCAATCACTGATCTGCACACGATCACGCCCACATGACTTAAGTCCGGGACCTGCAGGGTTATTGGCACAAACGTCAAAAAGCATCTGTCACGGAGTTCTTACCTCCTCAACTAAAACTCAGAGCGAGCGGCCTTCACTGAGTGTCCCTATGCGACTCAGTAAAAAGCCAAACACCAGCTACCCAGCTCGCTCCTTACAGAGTTCAGGCTGCAAGCCACGCAGATACTACTGAAGGAGAGCCACTCGCAGCATCTGATGAGGATAAAGAGAGTATGTAAGTATTCTTCCTCTGAAAATCCTACATTTATTTTGGCCCAATGGGAGTGAACACAGACCCAGCAGGTCTAGTCTAGTCTCGTCTCCTCTATCTGAAAATCAAGTCCGGTAAGCAGTCAAAATAGCAACGAGTTCCAAATTTAGGAAGCGAGGGAAAGAGTTAAATGAGAGTGTTTCCAATCAACTAAATAAGACTGCGGCCCCCACAGGTGGCAGGGAGCACAGCTGCCCACAGACACTCAAGTCCAGTCGGGCATCCCTTGTGCTCGGCCATCCCCGCTTGTTCCCACCTGCACCATGAACCCAGGTGTAATTCTGGGTTCCGAGCACTCAGCCCAAATCAGCAGCGACTTACAGGAGCCTGGAAGGGACCTGATGTCCTTTTAACCTGGGGGAGAGGATATGCTTGTATATTTCCACAGGACCCAGACTCACCTGTGTGGATTCCAGACCGTCTAATCTGACCTTATGTCACACCACCCTCCATCTCCGCCTCATCCTCCTCCCTGGTATCATCCATATCGGCCAACCCAGAGGACACAGCTGACCCTGCCCTGATGGACCCTTTGATGCAGCCCTTCAACTCGCTGACGCTTCGGGAAGCCCACCACCAATGATGCTGCCCGTAGCCAGATCAACAAGGACAACCAAACCCCCGACTTGAGGACAGCTGAAATCCCTTGACTGAAGAGGCCAGCAACCTTCTACAGGAACAAGGCTCCTTGTGCACTCCATCCACTATGTTTATAGCTATGCTTATTGTCATTGCTTGCCAGTCTTCTTCCGAGTCTTAACCCAATCCGAGAGGTGGCCACTGATTTACATGCGCTATCATTTAAAAAATAAAAAAGGGGGAATTTGTTGGGAGCCGGTCCATCCTTGCTGCTTGACACAGTTGCTGCAGAGAAAAAACATCTGCACAGCATATGTTTCAAGGGACCTGGCGTATATAGCATATTGTTCTTAATATGTTTGCTCCCCTTAGCACTATGTGTTTTAACCAAGGTCACCTCTCCGAGAAAGGTTGTTTCCCCAGGTGGGGATTTTTCCCTGAGGTTAGGGAGGGGATACAACCCCTTAATTAAGTGCCAGGTGGGTAGTTAAGCTACATAATCTTTACTCCCTGGAATGGAGATAAGAAACGCCCTAACCTTTGTAATAGAAATTGACAGGATTAAAATCGGCTGGTATAAATACGGATGTAACAAGACAGATCCTAACCAGAACCTAGCCAGAGAACATGGCAAAAGATCCTGGACAGAACCTGGCTACAGAACTTCACTGGAGAACCTAGACAGAACATGGCAAAAGAACCTGGATAGAACCTGGCTAAAGAACCTGGTGACTGAACCTGGCTGGAGAACCTGGAGAACCTGGCTGGAGAACCTAGCGAGAGAACATGGCACCAGAACTTGGTTGGAGATCCTGACCAGAACTTCGCTGGAGATCCTAGCCAGAACTTCCCTGGAGATCCTGGAGGGAGAACCTCGCTATGCTGATGAACTGAACCCAGTTTTCATGTCATTCATTCTTCACCTACTCCGTCCACACCTATGGGGAACCCCTGGACCTGCTGGGGTTGGACCCCAGCAACTGACGACAGATGCTGCGTCCCCTGGGCTCACCATAGAGGCGTAGGTAGGGCAGGCATTTCCTG